GGTTTCCTCCTGGCTTAGTTCAGGTGTTCATCTCCACCACCTGCACCCCAGACTTTATTAATAGTCATCACTGGCCTCATCATATGCAGGGCCACCACCCAGAATGCTGGGAGCCTAGCCCTGCTCTGTGTGCTCTGGTTGGGCTCTGGAAGGAGGAAAGGTTCGCTGACTCTGGTGGCTGCTTTGGGATTCTGGGCACTCCTTTGATCCCCAAGGAAATGTCTTTGTGATCTATGAGGCCTTCCGAAGTTCAGACTGCAGAACCTGGGATCCTGTTAGAACCTCTTGTCTATGGATCAGGAGCCTTTCCTCCTTCTTGGAGGCCCCAGAGAGGGGCTGTAGTCCTAGGCAAAGTGAACACAGGAGGAGAATTCTGACCCTGACTGGGGAAGAGTCTAGTTGTAGAGAAGTGACATGAAACAGCCAGACATGAATATAGGCAGTATGTTGACAAGTGCCAGAAAGTTGAGTGGATGCAGTGAAGGTCAGGGAAGGCTTGCTGGAGAAGGTAGGTGTTACCTGTGGCATGGAGAATGGGAAGGGAAAGGAAGGAAACAAGAGGTCTTGTGGTTTCAGAGCTCATGGTGGGCTGAACCCAGTGTGTAGTAAAGGCTCGTGATACTCGAGAATGACACATGGCCTGTGGATGGAAGGCAGAAGAGAGGACTTGGGGCCCAGTGACAATGGGGAGGAGGCTAGCAAGACACCGGGGAGTAGCAGTGGGAAGCCACTGAAGGCACTAAGTGAGTGCCTGGCAAAAGCTGGTCAGGGCAGAGGATAGATGGAAAGCAGGGAGCCCCACACCCACAGAGGGTCATGCCCAAACCTCACTGGCTGGAAGATCCTCCTGTTGGTGAGCTCTGACAGGAAAGACAGTGAGCTCTCTTTACCCTTTGCCAGCGTCAGGTGGTCTAAACCACCTAACCCCTATCGCCTTGCTCTCCTCCTCCTCCCATGCTTTTCTGCCTCCCTCCATCCCTTCCTGCCCTGTCATATATCCCTTTTTTCGTGGCAAAGGAATCCTTGGTTCTGGATCTTTTTGAGAGGAGCCATTATCCACCCCTGGAACAGATCTTCATGGGCACACCTGTAAGGTCATGGAGCTCGGCCTGCCTCTTTGTACCCTGGCTGAGTCCTGAACTGATACCTTAGGCCTTGGGGACACCATAGCCTGTGATGCAGGACAGGAGACTCCATGTTGAACGTGGCTTGCTTTTCTTTTGCTTTCTCTCCGCAAGCTTTGGGGAATAGTGTCTGGTAGGAAGGTGGGCAGAATGTGGCTTAGCCCTGCTTTCTGCAGCTTTGCTGCAATTCTTTCAAAGCCGGAGCAATGGCCTGCAGGAGCCAGCACCTTCCTCCTCTGCCAAGAGGTGAGGTGAGGTGAGGCCTGCTGCCCCACTGCCCTCTGGGCCTGACTCACATTTCATTCTCCTCCTCAGGCCAACCTCTACCCCACCGTAGGCCTGCAGACACCTGGGGAGATTGTGGACGCCAACTTTGGGCAGCAGCCCTTCCTGTTTGACATTGAGGACTACATGCGGGAGTGGCGTGCCAAGGTCCAGGGCACTGTCCACTGCTTTCCCATCAGTGCCCGGCTTGGCGAGTGGCAGGAGGTGCTGCAGAAGTGAGTGCCCTGCTCCCGCCCTTACCCAGCCCTGCCTCCTCCCAGAGGCCTCACTCTCCTGTAGGCCCCTGTACTGCTACAAGCTGCTCTTATGAACTCCAGTGGGTAGCGTTCCTTCTGGAAAGCACTCCCAGAGTGACTCTGCCTGCTGCTTTCCTGCTTCCCTCTTACTTGATGGACAACTCCTGCTCAGTTTTCCAGATCTGCTCCTAATTAAACCTTTGCACGCACGCACACACCCCCTCTACGCACTCATATTGGATCAGACGGCTCTGTATGTAATGTCACCAGCAGGGCTGTTTTCCCTCCCTGGGTCATTTTGCAGAGAATGTACTAGGACACTGTCCAGTCTCTTTCTCTGTCGACTTTTTCCCCACCATAGGGAGTATCCATCATGCCATAACTCTGGCCTGAGGTTACCTCTCAGGGTCAGCATCCAGCTAAGTTCCATGCATCCATGGCAGTGGTGGTGGGAAGGGTGTCCTCCCTAGGACCAGCCTCACTGGCTCTTTGCTGATTAATTCCGATTGTCCTGGAGGCCAGTCTTGCTGAGAATCCCAAGTGAAGCCAGGTGTGGGTCTTTCTTCCGCTTGTCAGCTGCAGGCCTGAGTGAGGCAATGACTAGTACTCACTCTGCCAGGAGGTAGATTAGCTTGTTAGCTTGGCTTCCACCAGCCCTTGTCCCTTGGGTGGGGTTGAGGTGCACCCTGAGTTCTTTGTGCAGCTTTCCTTTCTTGAGGAATTGATATTGAGCCATGTCCCAGGGAGGGCTGAGGCAGAGCAAGGCGGCCAGACCCTTCTCAGGAAGAATAGCACTGCTGGGTCTTTTTCTGAGCCCCTAGAACTAATGGGAAGCTCGTCCTCAGGGCCAGCACAGTGCTGGTCCCTACAGCAGGCTTGCCAGGATAGCAGAGGGAGAGCTGGAGCTGCCCCAGCCACATCAGAGAAGGACTGATACTCTCAACTTACAGGGCGCGGGCTTAGCACATGGGTGTATTTGTTTACATGTGCGTGTCTATGTGCCTGTGTGTGTTCATATGGAGTATTTGCCAAGAACTACATATAAGTGTATCCTGAGATTTCATAAAACTTTATTTTGGGGACATTGCTATATGATCTTGGAGACAAGTTTGCCACAATCCCTTCGGCTGGCTTCCCTTGGTGGGAGGTTCAGATTACTTCCTCTCTTTTGCTTGTGCAGGTAACCTTTTTGTATGTTGAGTTTTTCTTATTTAGGATTATTTTCTCGGTGTCCTTATGAGAAGTAGAATTATTGAATCAAAGGGACTGTATATTTTAATGGCATCTGGTGTGCATATAGAGTCGTCTGAACCATGTGTTGTCAGTTTTTGCCCTTGTGTTTATAATAAGAATTATTAGAATTATTACTTAGAACATAATATTATAAATATGTAATTTCATAATAAGAGGTTGTATTTATTGACTTCTTACTTTGTACTAGGCACTTTATGTGTATCTCATTTACCCCCTAAAACACAAGGGGACATATAGCCGAACTTCTTTGCCACATGACAGCCCTTCAGACATTCATATCTGGCAGTTACGATAATGACGCCAGACACATGCACATACCAAAGCATTCACTCCTGTACACCTCAGATGTGAGGGCTCATACTTCTGTTCCACACGTGTGTGCATATATGCACACATGCACACACATGTGCCACTGCTCAGCCAGCTTTGGGTGGGATTAAACGGCCGCTGGGCCTCAGGCTTCTCAGAGATGTTTCCCAAAGATTGCATTCCTTTTGGCCATGTTGTTGCCTGATATGTTGGCTTCTTGGGCCCCTGATTTGTGGAATATTGGGAGTAACTTAGTTTATGGGTTAGCTCCCCATGACCCTCTAGAGCCAGCACTCCTGAGGGCCAGGTTTGCCTGGTTAGCTAGAATGGACCTGCGAGGCACGTGGGGCAGTCCGCAGAGGAGCGCCTGTATCTGTAGAAGGTATGCACATGGCATGCATTATCTCTGGGCAGCTGCCAGACTGCTTGGCTGGCTGCCTTTCCAGGAGGCCCTCAGAGAAACTGTTGGCCATCTCTGGACTTGATGCAGTTCACAGGAGGTAGCTGCTTTTGTAAGGAGATGGTATGTGCCTGTGTGTGTGCTTTTGTTATCATACTTGCCCACTTGTGGGCAGTGTATCCCAGAGAAACTGCAGCCACTCCTTCAAGCTGTGAGGACGGATGTGGTGACCAGCCCTTCCCCAGCCTCATTGCATGATCACTAGGGGAAGTGTTCATTTTGTTTCAGCCCATTTATTTTCATTCTGTGGAGGTTATACCTCTAAGATGTATTTAAGGAAGACCTAAGAGGAAGATAGTCTATTCCATCATGCGGGCAATGAGAAATGTAGTTCTTGAGTGTCACCTCGAACATTTCCTTTCTTCTAGCATGGTCTCGTCTTACCTGGTGCATCATGGGTATTGTGCCACGGCCACGGCTTTTGCTCGAATGACTGAAACCCCGATTCAGGAAGAACAAGCATCCATAAAGAACAGACAAAGTAAGGTTGATTCTCCTCTCCCCTCTCCCCTCTCCCTCCATCCTTCACCAACTCTGCTTTCTAGCTCATACCCGCTTGAATACAGTGTCAGGAATCCATTTGGCTCTGGTCCTCACTGCCAGGAGACCAGCCCAGAGCCACAGCCCAGCCCTAGGCCCTGCTTCTGTCCCTCCTTCAAGACAACACTGCCCAGGTGGATAGTCTGGCGGCACGGGAATGTCTTGTTATAGCCTCCCTAATGCACACTCTGCTGGCTTGGCACAGGCCGGGGCCTGGCCTGGCCTGGCTGCCTCCCACTTTACGCTGTTCCTTCCCCCTGAATCCTGGATTCTACTCAGCCTCTTTTTCATGGACCTCCCTAATGCACACTCTGCTGGCTTGGCACAGGCTGGGGCCTGGCCTGGCTGGCTCCCACTTTACGCTGTTCCTTCCCCCTGAATCCTAGATTCTACTCAGCCTCTTTTTCATGGTCTTCCGGAAATAGTGTGTTTGCATCTTAGACCAATGTCCTGTCTTTCATATCATTTACCCAACTTTAGTAGTACTGCCTGCTCCTGGCCAAAGAGAGGACTAAAGTAATCAGACAGGGCAAAAGCTGATGCTTAGTGGCTGCTGTGGTAGCACCTGTCTTTGTTTTCCACCGATGGTCCTGCCCTTTGCAGACAACCAAAGGAAGGAGCCAAGGGAAGCCTTCCTGGTGTTCATACTAGCCTGTGTACTGTGTTTGGGCCTATTTATGGAAAGAGAGTGTTGGGTAAGAGGAAACAGAGCCCAGAAAAGAGATAAGAAGAGGTGAGAAGAGTGAGGGAGAATGGGTATGTGTGGACATGCGTGTCTGTGTGTGTCTGCTTGTGTCTCTCTGAGACTATCGTCTCTGTATGTGCATGTGTCTGTGTCTCTCAGAGAAGCTATGCCCAGCCAGGTAGATGGCAAGGGATCCCAGACTTAGGATCTATGAATGAGAGCACCTCAGGCCCAGAAGTCACTCTCAGCAAGATGCACCAGGCCCCAGGGCAAGAGCAAGATGCTGATGGCCTGAGAGGTGTCAACTTCAGAGATGCCACCGTGAGGAGGGTGGCATCCTCTCCCAGCAGGGAGCACGCTGTAGCCCCTGAAGACTACCAGGACGTGGGCTCTGGCCCAGAAACCAGTGCACTCCCATTACCACTCCCCCATGAAGCCTGAAAGGAGAGAAGTCTGTCTGAAGAGGAAGCCCCTAGGGCCACCAAGCTGCCTGGGTACCCATCCCCAGATCATGCTCCCACAGCCAGGGCCCCTCCCCACGCCCAGGTCCCTGGCGACCTGTACTCTGTAGCAGCAGGCCTCCAAACTCACCCTCCTTTTCTGGTCTGAGAGTCCTTGCTCCGTCTTCTCTTCTTATTCTTTGAGGACTCCCTGACACTTAGCAGAAACCAGGGTCTGTGGTGGGGCTGGGCAGCCAGATTCTTTCTTCAGCCTCTTCTGTGAGCATCTCAACTGGGCATGCCACTCTGAGCCAGCCCACTTGACTGTTGTCTGGTTCGTGCTAGGGACTGGCAGTGTGCAGGCATGCAGCTGCGAACAAGGTCTGTAGCCCCTGACTCACTGCCATGTTCTTGCTCTCTGCAGAAATCCAGAAGCTGGTGCTGGAGGGCCGTGTGGGTGAGGCCATTGAGACCACACAGCGCTTCTACCCAGGGCTGCTGGAGCACAACCCCAACCTGCTTTTCATGCTCAAGTAAGTTGTGGGCCCCACCAGCTCCCCCATAGCCCAGCCCTCCTCAACTGGTGGTGGGAACATACGACCAGGACCAAGCCCAGAGCAGTGCCACTCCGCTCCCTCTACAGGTGCCGACAATTTGTGGAGATGGTGAATGGGACTGACAGTGAGGTCCGCAGCTTGAGCTCCCGAAGCCCCAAGTCCCAGGACAGCTACCCTGGCTCCCCCAGCCTCAGCCCCCGACACGGCCCCAGTAGTTCCCACATGCACAACACAGGTCAGCCACTCTCCAGAAGGCTCTGGGAAGAACTGGTGTGGAGAGGAAAAGCCACCTGCATACCATTCCCTGGGCTGGGCTCAGGGATCACTGCTGGATTTGGGGGAAGGGAAATGGGACCACTGTGGTCATGCCCGGGGCCCTGCTTGATGGCAAGTTGCCCTTCCTATTCTGACTGTCCCCCGGCTTCCAGGTGCAGATAGTCCCAGCTGCAGCAATGGTGTCGCGTCCTCCAAGAGCAAACAGAACCACAGTAAATACCCTGCACCCAGCTCTTCCTCCTCCTCCTCCTCTTCCTCGTCATCCTCCTCATCCCCATCCTCCGTCAATTACTCCGAGTCCAACTCAACAGATTCCACCAAGTCCCAGCCCCACAGCAGCACCAGTAACCAGGAGACCAGGTGCCTGTCTTGCTCTGCTTTTTCTTCCTGCCTTCTGCTCTGCACCAGCTGGGCCCACTGCAGCCTGTCTTTTGAGCGCTGCCCCTTGCCCTTCACCTTCCACTTCCATCCCAGGTCTGTGCCTGGAGCTGCTGACCTACCAGGCACTGGCTTCAGTTTCTGGCCCTACCTATGATTCAGTTGCTACTTTCCTTGGCCCTGTCTTTCTCCAGAGGTGCTGACACTGTCAGGCTGAGAATGTGGTCTCTTAAGGAGACCAGGACTTAGCACTCCTGAGGGTCTATACAGAGGGGGCTTTTACTGGACTTGGTTTGTGGTCATCCATGTTGGATGGGCAGGGAGTTTTAGGCTATAGACTACAGGTGGCTTTCAGCACTCCCAGGCATGCCTCAGAGCTGAACTGGGTTTGGCTCCAAGAGATGCCTATCTCTGGGTTCATGGGCCCTGGTCATTTGGGGGTGAGGGGATGTTCAGTAGTGTGCCAACTCAGAGAAGGGCCAAAGAGGGGAAGTTCACAGAGGCAGCATTGGGACAAGAGTGGGAATCAGAGGATAGGCCTCTGGGCATAGCTGGTATCACTGTGGTGGCCAAGTGTTGGAGCCTGGGAAGCCTGAGCTGTCCTTTCATGCTCCTAGGGGCCTGAGCTTACCCACAGCAGCTTGTAGCTAAAGCCTGAATGGAGGTCCAACCAGGCTGCTTGCTCCAACCACATCCCCTTGGCCAACTCTCACTTCATCCCTTCTTCACAGTGACAGTGAGATGGAGATGGAGGCGGAGCATTATCCCAATGGTGTGCTGGAGAGCATGTCCACACGCATTGTCAATGGTGCCTACAAGCATGAGGACCTGCAGACAGATGAGTCCAGCATGGGTGAGGGCTGTGCCCCAGCATGGTGTTCTGTAGGTGCCAGTGCCCCTCCCCTGTGGGAGGGGGTTGGAACCGGCAAGCTTAGGCAGCTTGAGAGGCCCTAGCCAGACCTGGTCCATTGCCTTCTTAGCCAGTCATGAATACAGGTGCTCAAGGTGAGAAGACCCCCGCCTACTGCCAAGACCAGAGCCCCTGTGTCTGAGGCTAGAGGGGGTTGGTGAAAGTGGGCACTCATGTGCTGGGTAAACTTAAAGCACCTCTGCTATGGCTGGTCCTGCTCCTCCCAGCCCTCACTTGCCTCTGTCAGAAGCAATAGCCCTCCCCACCTCCCCCAGTCCTTCTTGCCATGTTCACTTTGGGGTCCCCCCAAATGTTCCCTTTCTCTTCTCACCCCTCCTGATGTGTTCTTTGCTGGACTCTGGGTGCAGATGATGGTCATCCTCGGCGACAGCTCTGTGGGGGCAACCAGGCTGCCACAGAAAGGATAATCCTATTTGGCCGCGAGTTGCAGGCACTGAGTGAGCAACTGGGTCGGGAGTACGGCAAGAATTTGGCCCACACGGAGATGCTGCAGGTACAGAACAAGCCGGGCCCTCATACAGAGTGGGCCCCCATGTGGTGGTGGGGGGGCAGGGTCTCTAGGAGGGCCCTGGGAACAACAGCAACAGAACAAAGAGGGCTCTAGTCATGTCTGCAATGGGAAAACAGGACATCTGGGTGTACCTCACCCTCTTTAGACTCTAGGGAGGAAACAGCCTTGCTCGACCCTAAGGCAGGGTACGCTGTACCCTCACTGGTCACTACGCAGGGCACTTTATCCCTTTGTGCTGTGTGTGCCACAATCCTCTCAAAAGTTCCCTGTTTCTTAGGATGCCTTTAGCTTGCTGGCATACTCAGACCCCTGGAGCTGTCCAGTTGGCCAGCAGCTTGACCCCATCCAGAGGGAGCCTGTGTGTGCTGCCCTCAACAGCGCCATTTTAGGTAAGTGGATCTAATAAAAAATAGAAGCTGGCCCATGAGTGCCTGGGGTGGCCCCCTCCCTTCTGTCCTTAGGAATTGCTAATATTTGTCCAAATCAGTGCAGTGAGCTCTGCCCAGGAGCTCTCTAGTGGCCCACAGGACTCTTGGGCTCCCGTGGCTGAACCTAAACCCTAACCTCCCTCTGCCCAGCTGAGTGGTCTGGCTAGATCTTGATGAGCTCTAGGCTGTGACCGTGGGCCCAGGCCAGCCCGTTGCTCTGAATAAAGCTAAGGTCCTCAGGTTCCTGGCATGGCGATAGGGCTGTGGCCTCTTGGCCATGATACATTCACATATGAACACAATAGAATCTCTGTTCCAAGAGATTCTATTCACTCCCCCACCTTCCACTCCTAAGGGAACTTTGACCTGGGCCCAAGCCCTGGGCAGGGCAGTGACCAGGCCTTGTCTCTCCTCCACAGAGTCTCAGAACCTGCCAAAGCAGCCTCCTCTGATGCTCGCCCTGGGCCAGGCATCTGAATGTCTACGGCTCATGGCCCGAGCGGGCCTGGGATCTTGCTCCTTTGCCAGAGTTGATGACTACTTGCACTAGCTGACCACGCTGGCTGGCCCCACCTGGCCCTCCCTCAGCCCCAGGAGCCCAGCCCTCCATAGGCACCTGGCACAGGGACCTGGAAGCCATGGGCAGAGTCCACTCCTCCTGCCTGGCCTCCCCCTCCCTTTCCTGCCTTCTTCCTTCCTTCCTGCCTGCCTGCCTGCCTTCCTTCCTTCCCTTCCTTCCCTTCCTTCTTCTTTCCCCACCCTCAGTCTCTCTCTCCCCACTTCACGTGCAGCGGCCTGTGACACAGTATTGGCTGGTTACTCTCATGTAGCGCCTTCTACTTTAAAAGGGGGGTTTTGTTTTGAGAAGGGGTTGGGGTTTTTTAATCTTTTTTTCCTCCTGACTGAGCCACCAGTATTTATCTCTGGAGAGTTTGTGCTGAGCTGGTTTCTGCTAATTTGGTGATGAAGCCTATCCAAGTTGGTGATAGCTTATTATTTTCATAAGTAAAAAAATGAGATTATATATATAAATATATATTAAAAAAAAAAAGACAGTATTTATCGTAGTGTTAGTGGTCCAGCACCTCTTGGATGAGGCTGTCCAGATACCATGTTTTTATTTGAGTCCAACTCATTAAAAAAGAATCATCTCTATAACCTCAGCTAAGTGATTTGATTACTTTAGGCTTCCCATTTGCTGAGCCACATGCCCAGCTGCAGCCTAGGGAAGCCCATTAGGCTTTGAGAGGCCACTTAGCGGGCAGGTCAGGCCAAGCTGGTTTACAGCATCCAAGAGGTGTGGGTCCCTAGGCCCCTGAGATCTGGACTGAGCAGAGAACGACAGAGCCAGGGGTCCAGAGAAGAGAGGAGTGGCCCAGTGCTACACAGCAAAGCAAAGGAGTGGAGGGTCCTTGGCCAGCACGCTATCTACCATTCTACCCTGCCTCTCACTGCCTGCCTTGCCCTTCTTTCTCTCTCTTCCCTTTTCAACGTCCTGCCTCCCCTTGTTGTTAAGATGGCCAAATAATTCATTTACTCTAAATTGATTGCCTGAAAACTACCTGCCTTCGACCCGAGAGCTGCTGTGTGTCAGGCTGCGGGGAAGAAGTCTCTATTCCCGGGACAGAGGCTCTTGAGTACAGGGGCTACCTTCTTCTTGCCTGGATCTTCACCGTCTCTGCACAGCTCTGATGGAATCGATGCTTTCTGCTGAGAAGCCAGGACCTTGTGGAGGCGCTGGAGTGGTTGGAACCCTTGGCCCCCTAGGCCAGAACTCACTGCAGCTGTCCCAGGCAGCTCCCTGCAGCTTGGCCCTAGCCACTCTTAGGAAAGACTGTTATGAGTATTTGCTGGCTGGAGGAAGGGACCTCATGGGCTTTAGAAATATCCCATCAGCCCCATGAGATGGATCCTCACAGCTGGTGGGACAAAAACAATCCATCAGGGAATCAGGAGAGGAAGGGCCAAGATGGCTTTCAGGACTTGGGTGGGCCATCTGTGGAGAAGACTGACTGTCCAGGAGGAGGAAAGGAAGGAGATCTATTCAGAGGAGCACCAGGAGGGGCTGGGATTTCTCCATCTGCTTCACAGTGGGAGGGAGCACATAAGCCCCCTACAAAGGGGCAGAGTCAGAAGTTGATCTTTTAGTCCCTGCCTGGATCTGGCCTGAGCCAGCTCTTGCTCTCTCAGTGGACACAAGAATGGTTGGGAAGGCCTGAGGTATTATTTAGTGCCCACCAGGCTTTGTTGGGCCCACAGCTGGACAAGAGAAATGATTGAGTTGGACCAACTGCTGATGTTGGGTGGGGTTCAGGGCTCGGCCCTGTGCTGTCAGAGTTCTGCCTTGGGACATGACCCTATAGACTGATGCTTTTTCTTGGTCCCACCAGGGCCTCAGCTGGCAGCCCCCAGATCATGGCCCATCAGGGGAGGTCTTGTCCTGTCTGTAAAGGAAACGTCCTGTGCAAGGCTAGGGATGCCTAGTTCCCAAACCCTGAGGTTGGAACAGGCTGTTAAAATGGTCAGAGCCAAGCAGGATTGGGAATTAAAACCAGAGGTTTTTGCAGCTGGAATGGGATTCAGAGAACATCTACTCCAGCAATCCTCTCCTTTTACAAATAAGGAAACAGGCCCAGGAGGTTAGGTGACTTGGCCAAAGTCACACAGCAAATTAATGGCAGAGTCAGAACTACCCTCATCTCTGTGAGTTAGGCAACACTGTTTAGTCCTAGAGCTGAATGGTGGGTGAAGGGTTAGGCTCAGCAGTGTTAGGGAGGCCTCTAGCAGTGTCTGAGCAGCTGGTACTTTCAGGGGTGTGTCAGGGATGGGGATGGATGCCTGGGCTTGGGTTGTGGAGCATCAGAGAGGGCCCAGGAGGGCTCAGGACAGCTGTTTGCTGCTTGGGGTTGGGTGTCCGCCTGGCTCACACTCTACCCATGGTCATCTCCCCATTTTCTGTGCCTTATCTCACTGTTTCAGCTGAGTCCAAGTTGTTTACTCTGTTCCTCTTCAGAGGGGCTCTTTGTCCCATTTGGACAGCTTACCTTTGGGACATAAGCCTTTGCCCCACAGCCCATGAAGAGGACAAAAACCAAGCTGCTTGAGCCCACTGTCTTGATAGTCCAGGCCTGCCTGCCAGCCAGAGGAGCCCCTTATGCACACCCAATTCCACCAGCCTGCTTCTGGGAGCCAAGAGTGGGGAAGGTATCTGGGAGGAGCCCTGGTGAAGAACTCGACTTGGCCCAAGGGGTCAGGAGGAAGACCTAGCCCAGTTGGGTTGTCCAGCCCTGGGGGACCAACCTTCCTTATGTACCTTTTCTCCTTGCACCATCAAACGATTGCTCCTTCCAGAGTGCATGGAAATTGGCAGACCATGCAAAGAAAGCCAGAATCCTGATCCTCACCCACGTGGGTCTGTGCTGGGTGCAGGCCATCAGAACAGGAGACACCAAGAGATGGAAAAGTGGGGACTGCCCAGCCACCCAGCACCTTCCTACCCCTTAAGCACAAAGAAGATGAGGCAGAGAACTGTCAGAGCTGGAAGTTCCTATGGTTGCTCATAACTCAGGTATGCACGCTGTGTGGCAGCTGGGCAGCAGAGCCCTACTTGACCACCAGTCCCGTGCACCCAGACCTGTGGCCAGATTGTGGACTCTGGCTGCCTGAGGTGCCGCCTCTTTGCATAGGGTTTTCCTCCATTAGTAACTACAGCTGACACAGACGTCCTCCACATTGTGCACACTGGTTCTGCCTTTGTCCTCGCAAGTTGATACTTGGCATTAGCATGAAACTTGTGGGAGTGGGAGGGTTTAGAGAGAATTCTAACACAAAACATCCTATTAAATTGTACTTGAGAGATGAAAAAACTCCTGTTGTATTTTGACAGAATTATTTTTATTAAAATACACATCCATGGGTAGTCATGAGTGTCTGGTCTCTGTTTTGAGTCTTACTGGGGCTGGTACCCCTATGTGGCATACCATATCCTGAAAGGTTTGACCCCTTCTCAGCCCACCTCTCCAGTGCCTAGGCCCCTAGTGCCTCCTCAAGGACCCTTAAGAATTTGGGTGTCTGCAAGGCCCCAAAGAAGATAGGTACTTAAGCTCCAATTCTCTCCCCAAAACAGCTTTCATCTGAGACAAAGAAAAAGTAGCAAATTCAGCTTCAAAAAGGTGGGCCACAGGACTTCCTGCTCTCAGAATAAGATATTAATACATTCCAAATACGTTCACCCCAAACATGAGAGAGTAAAAAAGTTTCCCTGAGGGGTATTGAGGTTAGGGTCCTGTCAGTCTGAGAAAGAGCTTTGTGCTCAAAATCCTGGTTCTATTTCCTAACTGGGTGACCATAGAAATTGAACCTTTCTCAGCTTGTTTCCCCATCCTTAAAATGTGGTCAATCCTTCTACCCTGGGTGGTAGAAGATTCTAGCATGCATAGTGCAGTGCTTGGTACATAGGGATGAAGTACATGTGGCTGCCCTACCTCCACGGGGTGTGACTGGCCTGCTCCTACCTCATGCTGCCTCCTGTGCCCGCAATGGACTAGGGTTTTATGCAGGGGAGAAATACAGTAGCTTATGCTGGTGTCCACCTAAAGGTGGTACTGGAAACAGTTTGGAGGCAAAGAAACCAGCTAGGAGGCCGCTGCAGTAGGCCAGACACAAGAGGGCAGGTTTGGGAAATGTTTAGGAGATACACGTTAACACAACAAAATGAGTAACTGGATATGAGGAAGATGGGAGAAGCAAGAGACAAGGCAAATACAGGCTTTTGGTTTTGAGTGAAGGGATGGCTAATGGTGCCACAAGATTGTATAGGGAACGAAAGGGAACAGGTGATGGCTAAAAGTCACTGGAGTATGGAGGTTTGCTAGAGAGCATGTGGATCCATATCTCAGAGGACATGGTTCCTGGAACTGGAAAAGGGTTCTGTGGTCCAGTAAATAAGGAAAACTGTCATGGTCCTCACAGTGAACATCACCAGCTAATTAAAAGCTCAAAACCCTGTTAAGATGTGCAGCTTAACCCAGCACTTATATTACTGTAGAATACTTATAGAATATTTTATAGCACTATTACTCTAAAGAACTCTTAGGGAAGAGCTAGTGTAGAGGGAAGAGTGAAGTATTAGATAAACACAAATGTCCTGGTTCCATAAATAAACCTGTATATAGTGGATTAACTTCCCTCTAGTGGTTCTGAACCAGGACCAATTTTGCCCCAAAGGGGACATTGGCAATATCCGGAGATATTTTGGGTAGTCACAGCTGGGGTTGGTGTGCTAGTGGCATCTAGTAGGTAGAAGCCAGGGGTGCTAACATCCTACAACGCACAGAAAGCCCCCCATGACAAAGAATTATCAGGTCAAACATGTCAACAGTGCCGCTGTTGAGAAACTCTGCTCTAGAGTGAAACTTTGCACGATGACACAAATAGATCAGACCTAAGCACAGTTTGATTCTGCCTCCCTTGTGCCTGGCTGTTGGGAATCCAGGGGGAAGGAATAAGGGGATAAAACTCCATCAGAAGATGGAGGGGGAGAGGGGAAATTAGAGTTTCTCATCACTCTGGAAGCTTTCTATGCTCACAAAGGTGGCAACAGTAGCAGAAGTCCTGTTTCCCCTGCGCAGCAATAGCCCTGCTGGTCAGCAATCCTCAGTGGAAACAACTGCTTCAGTGCAACTGACATGTTCTGTCATTACAGGCTGCTCTGGAGAGATGGCTGGGACACCCTCCTAATGCCAGCTGAGCGCGGGTCCAGACTCACCAGGAGAGTCAGACAAGAACGGGTGGGTTCTCCCTATGCAGAAATAACCATAATCCCACATTTCCAAGATAGCCTATTTTACACGAAGGTTCACAGGTTTCACTACCCTAGCTGACAGTAGGGTGAACCAAAGGGTAGTCTTATTACAAACAGTATTAATTTGGGGCGGGGGATGGGGAGAGGAGAAATAGGATCCAGGAAAGAGATCAGGAGGACTGAGTTCCTAAACCTGAGAGCACTGATATCTAAGGAATAACTAAAGAACATTCAGAGAAAGAGGAGCCCAGACAGGCACTTGAGATAACAGAAAAAACGAGTCATTAGGAGTCAGGAAGCCGCGAAGTCCGGAGAGTTCGAGAGAAATGGCAGACCTTCCTTCATCCCAAGACAACCAAGAACCACCACAGTCTCCAGAACCTCCTTGCTCTTGATGCCGGGCAACGAGCCAGAAAGAAGCCGAGGGTGGAAGACCGCTCACTACGTGGTCCGCACCGGGGGAATTGAATAACCAGGGCCTCCAGCTCAGCTACTTAACCTTCCCGGACAAGGAGCGAGCATGCGCAGCTTCGGGTCGCAGCCCCTCCCAGAGCGGGCCCACCCCCGCCAGGGAGCATGCGCAGACCTTCTGCCGTCCCGCCCCGCCCTTTCCAAAGCCCTCGGTTCCTTAGAAACCAGGCGGCGCGTTCCCGGTGCGGCGCGCTAGACTCTGGGGCCCGTGAGTCCCTACTAGCCTTCCTCACCGAGGGCTGGTGGCCATTGGGACCCTTGTGGACCTATGGTCTCCGGTGCGGAGCAGGGCGGGCAATGCCAGTGTGCCAGGTGAGAGGCGGCCCGCGGCGGCGGGTGTGCATGGAGGAGGGCATGGCGTGGCTGCGAGCGGGCGTCGGCGGGGCCTCCTCCGCGGCCCGGCGTCCGAGGTCGGAGTTGGGGATACGCGGAATCTGGGCTAGAGGGAACCGTTCTAACTGCCAGCACCCGCGCGGAGTTCGGGGGTCGCCCCGGAATTCGCCCTCCCCACCTCAGAAATAGGACCTGCAAGTTTGGTCGTAAAATCGTACAATTTTGGCTCCTTGAAGGACCTCGGTTCTAACTCATCCTTTTACTGGACTCGAAAACCTAGGCTCCCCATCCCTGTGCAGAGTAGACCCCCTACCTGTGTGAGGCCTGACGCTTTGTGGATAAAGATGTGAGGTATGGAAGTCTCAGACAAAGGGTTCGTGGGGTAGCTGGTCCATCCTGTTTCAGAGTGAAATGGAACTTTTAGGGGGTAAATCTTTATTTAAGGAAAAAGTGTTCAGATGGCAGGTGGGAAAGGGTACACCCCAGGAGATGCGGGTGGATCTGCCAGCACCAGAGTACCCACGGGCCACGTTTCATGGGCCCAGGCCTACCTTTGAAGCTCAGGAAGGAAGCAGACGGACCAGGGGAGACAAAGGTGAGGTAAGGTATTCTCACCAGGGAGGTGTTATCATATGAATGGCGAGGAAGGAAGAGTGGGCGGGGATATCAGGACTTGTGAATGGTCGTGTGAAGAGTTCACCTCCCAAACTACTGCAGAATCTAAAGAACGGGACAGGAATTGAAAAGCTTAAATCTACATTGGATGGACAGAAAGCAAGGTTATAAACCATGTTTATTGTCCCCACAGTGTCAAGCTGAGGGCAGCACACATGAGGAAGAAAGTGGGTGCGCTTTGTCTAAAACCAGGGCCAGCCAGGCACTGCCCAGAGGACCTTTATAAGCTGTAGGCACAAAGGTCTCAGAAGGAAGAGCCCTTAGTATATGACCCTTCAGTTGAAGGGAACAGCTAACTGTTAAATTAGAACAGACACAACGTGTTATTGTGACATAAAGAGAAATGGAAAAGAGAGTTGTCTTTTAGAGTAAGGGAAGCTAGATTCATTCTTGATAAGGAAACTCATCGAAAAGCTATACCTAGGGACAAGAGTTGTAAGGCCATCCATTTTACAGAAAATATGAAAAATTACTGAGTTTGGATTAGGAATTCAGAGAATCTGGCTAAACCAAGAGGTGAAAATTTTCAGCAAACATTGCTGTTGGTGGACTCTCCATTTTACAGGTAAAGATTCTGTTGTGAAAGTCTTCCTTACCACCTGGTTGTCCTACTTTTCCTATGGAATGATTGGTCTGGGTCTGATCAGTTATTTTTATTTGCTAGGAAAATTCAGACGTAAGATTTATAATACCAAGTCTACGACCATGCCACCCTGAACATGCCGGATCTCGTCTGATCTCGGAAGCTAAGCAGGGTCGGGCCTGGTTAATACTTGGATGGGAGACTGCTTTGGAATACCAGGTGCTGTAGACGTTAAAAAAAAAAAAGATTTATAATACTAGAACCCACGAGTAGTGGGATTAGCAATGAATAAAAAGGCCCCCCCCACAAAAAAAAGATTTAAAGATTTATAATATGGGGGAAAGAAGTGTGTGATTTTTAAAAGATGGTTGCTGATTCTAATCATCAAAGTACATTTGTTACTAGTTTGATAAAATTAATTTTCAGTGTATATTCAGCTTTGCAGCAGGTTTTTTCCTACCCAGATTGATAGAATATACATTAAAAGTATGATGGTGTTAATAGGTCATATTTAAGGAAGAACTCTTTAGGTTTACAAATCAATGCCAGACCATAACTATGGAAATCGTGGCTATGAATTATTTTCTTTTTGGCTGTGAATTTTTAAAAATTAAAATGTAGTTAATATGCAATAATAGTTTTAGGTGTATAACATTTATTCAGCTTTGCATGGCTGTGCATTTTATTGACTTTTCTTGCACTATGGAAATATTTTGTATAAATACCTCAAGAGATATAATGGAGTATTATCAGAAGGGTATGTAATCTGTGGAGGAAACTGGTACTGTTAACCAAATTTTGTCAGAAAAGTTTTATGAATATCCTTGTATTCTTTATAGAAACACTCATTACTTTAGTATTAGCTCAGATAGAATATAGAAAAGTAAGCCAAAATCAAGATAAGGTGGACGGGAAGCAATTACCATCTACGGAGCTGGATGGGATGTCGGAGGGTGCTTTGAATGTAAATGCAAATACTTTCTTGAGTGAGCAGTTGGAGAAGATACTGCTTACATGTGCTGAGTGTGCCCCTTGGATTTGTGTGCATTTTTTGAGCTCCTGTAATCAGAAAGACACTTGTCGGAGGAAAAAGAGAGACTTACAGACTCAAGTATTTATTCGTTGCTGTGGCAGTGAAACCTTTGACAAATAATTAACATCCACTCCAGATGAGGGCAGTTATCAAATCTGGCCTGTAATAAAGTACTCAACAGTATTTAATAGGCCAACTTACCAGATAAACCAGTAATGTTAACTTTCACTGAACTGATTTTCTAGTTATACAGTAAGAGGAAAAATGAAATGAGAATGCAGTGCCATCTGATTAAGAAGTTTTAATATAGATGTTGGTATTCAGAAAATAGAGGAATCGGAGAGACCACTAACTTAGAAGAACCTTTCTGATGCCTAACAAGTTACTTATGCATATTTATAATAGGAGGTCCAATTCTAGAATAAATCCACCATTGGAATTGAACAGCATCTAGGAAGAAATTAAAGATTTTGCTGTTTTTGAGAATTTGTATACAGCATAGTAATGGGACATTATTTTTTTTAACAGACAAAAGTAGCAGCTTTGTATTAGAAAACTTCGAGTCAAAGTCAAAATTACTTGAAAATTTAAGTAATTTTAAATTTTAAAAGTGGAGAATGAAAGATACTTGAAATAGACTTGGACTCATGAAAGAATAAGTGTATGTGCTACATGCCATTAAGTCGGCTTTGACTCCTAGTGACCCTATGAATGAGTGACGCCCACAGTGTCCTATCCTCAGCAGCCCTGCTCAGCTCCTGTAGACTAATGCATAGCTTCTTTTATGTAGTTAGTCCATCTCATGTTTGATCTTGCTCTTTTCCTGCTGCCTTCTATCTTTCCCAGCATTATTGTCTTTTCCAAAGAACCCTGCCTTCTCATGATGTCCCCAAAGTAGGACTGCTTCAAGTTTTGTTATTTTTGCCTCCAGCAATATGTAAGA